AAGGGTCACTGTTCACGAAAAGGATCGAAGACCGTTGAAAGGGGTTTGGATACACGAACACATGAATACCGTCAATCATAGGTCGATCCCGGATTGAAGCAGGCTTCACCACTGCGGACCTTCCGCCATTACGCGTGAATGTTGGACCCACTTGGGAACCCACTTAGAGGCTACAGGCCCAGGTCTAGCACGCTCAGTTTGCTTGGAACGAGTCTGGAAAAGTCGTTGAACTCGGTCAGCCCCAGAATTCTATTTAAAATTGGAGTGTTTATTAATAACCCGGCATTTGGATTGTAACACCTTTTGATACGGGAGGGTTCCTAGTGAGAGAGTCTACATTATTGGAGAAAGTGATCACATGCAAATGGTCTTGTTGCGCTGTGGTTTCCTGTGGTTTCCTGCCCTCGGTTTCCTGACACCCCCCTTCACCGGTGTTCTGCCAGCCAAAAACGACGGAGAAAGATGGTAACAGAAAGCATTCATTTAGCAGGGAAACAGAAACTCAGCAACAGAGGAGTTCAATTCAGCTACAGCAACAGAGGTGTCACCTGAAACATGGTGCAGGGGTGAAGCTGATGGTTCGTGGCTCCTCATGGCTCCATAGCAAGGTAGGGAAAGGCCGATGAATGCATGCTAGAAAGGCCTCTGGATGACCCATGTGTCCATTTGAGTTTGCATTCGGTGGCTGAAGTGCTCGTTATGCAGATGGCCATTTGCTTTGGCCAGTGGCCAGTTAAGCTGTTGCCAGACCCAAACTCCAAGTGCCAAGGTCATTTGCCCCAAACACCCCATGGCACAGGACTTCAGCTTTTGGCCATGTCTATGTGGCTGTTGCTGTACAGGTTGCAAACTTTGGAACTCCCAAGTCACTGTTTGCCCTCATCAAAAGGGAACTAGAGTGTTCCAGCATCCCCCGCCGATCATGCCAAACACTGTTAAGTTTCTCTTTCGATTGATCATCTCTTCTTGCTTTTGATAGAAGAACCACCAGCTTTTCGTTAAACACACATCGGACAACCGTTTTGCTCTGTCGAAACCCACTTGGCCAATGTTGGCAGTATATGTTCAATAAATGGCTTTCTGGCGGTCGGATCAGATCCGCAGGTTTCTGTCATCCTTCGGAGATGAAATCGAGAGGAATGTTCCAAACCATGCGCTTGTAGGTTGTCGTTTCTTCCTTTAGCTTTTTTCTTCAGGTGCCACATCCCTAATTACTTTTTGTATATTTGACGATCGGAGAGTTCCGAGTTCTTGCTGCCTTGCTGCAGTGGAATGTACATTGAATGGAGGCAAAAGGGGTCTTGAACATTGCAGGTCCCTTCAAATCGATTCTCTTGATGGTTGGCAGCGCGGTAATGACATGGGCATATTCTTGGTGACATTAGAACAGGGGGCCCTCCAATCACTTTCCAGAGGTTTGTCTCTGGTGGTCTCTATTTCAGGACACCTCCTTAGCCTTCTATCGCTAGCATCCAGCATCCTATTCGCGGGAGAGGATTGGTCAATCGCTGGAAAACTTTGGTATGGACACCGCAGATTCAAGAAAGTCGCGCAAAGTAGGTGCAGCAAGATCAAGTGGTGATTCCAGGTCAGAAAGTAAGACTGCCAAGATGTTGTGTTTTGAGGTCACAATCTTGCAAGTGGGAACCTAGTGCCGGACATGCATCCCCCATGTGGTTGCAGCTTGTCGCGTTTTGAGCTGATTCTCGGTAGAATTGACATTTCACCGTCAGAGAGTCCTGAACTAGTCCTTGCTCCTAGTAGTAAGGCCAGGAGCCCCTAGTAGCATTCTTGCTCCTAGTAGTACGGCCAGGAGCCCCTAGTAGCGTTCTTGC